TATTGTCAACATATGATTTATTTTCAACTTGAAATATTTTCTAAATAACGAAATAAAATGTTATTAGGGAGGAAAACCCGTCTGGATAACAGCAGACTGACTGCTGGTAAAATATACGACAGGTCTGGACCACTCGTGAATTTTGTTTGTATCTGAAAAAAATCTTAGAATACAAAAACATTGGTGAATGCCACAAATTCTCCAAAATCACTCGTACGCACAACTTAAGAACAAATTTGTGCGTACGAACGGTTCTTGCATGAGGCCCAAATGTGTCTCTTTGACCATCAGTGTCACTGTTTTGCAAATGAGGAGTTTGAGTGGACTACTACATTAAAGCAACCAAGAAAAAGTGTAATGTAAAGCATTATGATTATTATTTACATTTATGCTTTTACTGTTTGTACTGTAAATACTTGACAAATATTGAAAGGAAAATACAGCCCTGCAGAGCACAAAGAAAAAAAATCAGAGATGTGAACAGACTGTAAGACAATCTCCTTAAGGTAAACTGTACATGCAGTGCTTTGGGAATTACAGAAAAGTCTTTCTTCACTTCCTGATGTTCCTGTCTGTTGGGCCACAACAAAAAAAGTGTGGAAAGAATCTTTTAGAGCATCTTATCCAGCCTTTGCATACATCTTTTTTACTGTCATCATGCATCGCATCCATGGCAGCCAGAAGGGTCATCGTGTGACTGGAGGCAATACACTTTGTACCTCCATGCTGAAACAAATTACTCAGTGGGGTTAAGGAATAGGGTGAGAGAAACTCCATAATCATCTTGTTGTGGGCCACAAACCATTGCCTGATGAAGCTGGAGCGATGGAAACCAACATTGACCCAAACTTTCATGTGTGTTGATAAGTCATCTCCAGTCTGACCACTCTCTTGTTCAGGGATGAGATCCTTATAGGGAGGGTCTACAAAAGTGACAAGATGTTCTGTGATGTATGGATGAAAATCAGAATTCACCTGGAAGCAAATTTACCAATTCAGCACAGATTAAAGGCAAAGTCTAATGGGAAATTGAAACTGGACATATTATGAGGACTTGCTCATCCATTTTGCATGTAAAGACTTAAGCAATGAACTAAAGCCTAAATGTTGTGAGCAGTGAGATCATTAAACAGACACACACACGATGCATTTGGATCAGGACAAAAGCAACTGAAAATGTCCTTAGGAAACAGAGAATTGTACAGAATCATTGGCATGGTACCAATTTGCAACTTGCTAAAACAAATGAGACGCTGCTCTTTTAAGGGGTGAGAGAACCTCCATGTGACATGATGATGTGATGACTGAACGAGTAGTTTTGAGAATTTCAACACTGTTCTGASAAGTGTAAAGAAAATGAGGAAACCTGTAACTGCCAGGCATTGAGTACTCTGTCAGAGTTGACCACTTGCAATTGGACCACACAAGACAGAAGGTAATTAAGATCTGAACAGGGCATGAAAGTCCATTTTAGTTTGAATTGCACAAGGTGTTTGGAAACATTCCTTCTCACAAGGAGCTTAAGAATATCTAATGAAAAAGGTCCCTTAAAAAAGCATAGTTTTTAGATTTCTGGTTTATTTTAAAAGATTGTGTACCCGACGTAGTAAATGTGTTGGTGTGTATTCATGGACTGACCACTTTGTCTTGTTCTATAAATCAATGATCTTTATTCACACAGTATAAACAACAAACAGCAACAGAAGGAATTGTCTGATGGGGCTAAATGGACAACAAAACCAGTTCATCTCTGMCTGAGACAGAGGCTTAGACACAGGGCTAATGGGTCAGAGTTCATGGTACACACACGATATGCACAAACCTATCAAATGCCTGAACCTTTGCATGTTCCTACAGCCATTCAGTCGGTTTGCAGGTGAACATAAGAGAGACGGCAAGTTACAGTCATGCCAAGCAACATTTACCTACAATATGAAACAGTCATTACATAAAAACCAAGTAAATCATCTCTTTAGAAAGGTTCTTTATATAAATGATTTGAAGTGTACAAAACGGTATATTACATGTCCCTTGATGCATGATTCTGAGCATAACCCAGTAGCCTACAGTACACTCCCCTTCAAAGTACTACAAACTATTTAACTGGATTACAAGCTGCAAATAGACTGCACTGTACTCTGAGTGGCACAGCAGTCTTACATGGCATCAGGAGACTATGGGRAAAGGAAAAGAGCAGCAGCATTGTCTTCTATTAAGAATATACACCTAGAAAAATGCACCAGGCCTCAYATATTGCCAGTATCCCATGTAAAACAGCAGAAAGCCATTTAAACTAACCTCAGTAAGCAGTGTTGCTTCTATCTTTCTACCTGTTCCCAACAACACATACCATTTCAGCAGCATGTAAACATCAACACGGCTGCTTCTACACTTCTAATGTTTTTGATATATAAATGAGAAGTTAAGGCTCTTTAAGGACCTGAGGATTTTGAACATATGATGAGGCACACAGAAGGCAAAGAATAGCTCTAGACAGGGCTAACTGAACGTTTGAGGTGCATGAGACAGTAGCAAATATCTGGCAACCAGTGCAGTTCAAGGGACAAAGTATAGGACGCCAGGAGAGAGGCCCTTAACAATAATTTGGTCCTTCTTCTGTTGTATGGGTGCCTTTACACGTCATCAACTGCTTCTGCCTTAGGACAAGCACTATAAAAATGCTAATGCTTTAGCGTTTGATAGATTTAGACTCACATGCACTGTGAAAAAGTCTTGAGCCACCGATCACTTTTAAACATTTTTCTTGAGCCGAACTTGATAGTTTTCCTTTGAACACTGTCTACTTCTTGACCATTTTAACAGTGACATTCACTGCTCGCTGTAATCATTCCTTCTGTCCAAACTGAGTGTAAAACATCATCATCTGAGCAAAGAAATATCTGTTTTTAAATGCATTTTTAGTAAAGTATATGGGATCTTAGTAATGGCATTTGGGTCCAAATACTCAAACTGTTTGATGATGACACTGAGATTTCATCAAACACATGGTCTATTGATTAATTGTACAGTTTTTTTCAGTGAATTGTAATGAATCTTCTGCATACTCCTGAGTTAGTTGTAGAGTTCCTCAGTGTACAGTGCTTAGACCAAGTACTCTTTACTTTAAACATGTTTCCATGAGTAATGTTGTTGTTATACTGACACTGCTAGTTATAGAGTATATGTCCAAGAAACCTGACAAATACAATCAGTTGCTATGATCACAAGCACGTCTATGGGATAAATCTTGTGCCAGCAGGAACTGAATTTGAATCGCTCAGATTGAATCTGTATGTGCAGAATTTGAAATTGAATGCATTGGTTTGAAAATGAATTTTACTAAATTGAAACTGAATTTAATGGTTACAGATTCAATCTGAGTAATTCAAACTCAGTTCCTGCTGGCACAAGACTTATCCCATACATGTCTTAGAGACATAAACACATACAGAATGACAAATCATTTTTTGCTTTTAAACTCAGACAAACCAGAGGTTATGTATTTTGAACCTGAGAATCTTAGGCACAAACTTTGCAGCGTTTCACTTAAATTGGATGGTATTAGGTCTGCTTACTGTACTAATGTAAAGAATTATTTTGGATCAGGATTTGTCATTTAAACACCGCATAAAGAATGTTCCAAAGATAACCAATCCACACACATAGCTGGTCCATGCTTTTAAAACGTCCAGGCTGGATTATTGCAGTTTTTTAATATCTTGATATCCCAACAATCTCTTAAAAGTCTTCCACTGATACTGGGCTGCTGCCAGAGTTCTGATGAAAGTTAGAAGAAGATATATTTCTCTAAGTTTAGCTTCTCTCCATTGGCTCCCTGTCAAATTCAGACTTCAAGAGGCTAACAACCTGTCTACTCGTAAGATTCTGCCTAAGACTTTCTTCTTTGATAAATCCTATTGAGGTTGAGGTTTGATTGATACTTGCGAACTATTCCAAAGTTCTGCTGCTTTAAGCTTAGACTGTTGGAGGACAAACTGACCCCATTTCCTCATCCTGCTGCTGTCTTTTCTTGCTCTGCTCTCCATTTTTGTATTTGTAATTATGACTTATTAAAATTGTGATCTCTCTTCATCTCTCCACAGAAACTATGCCTGGCCCAGTACGTTTTGTTTAGAAGAGCAGCAATTTTATCATTTGAACTTGTTACATCTTTGTGTATTGTCCTAAGATGACTTTTGTTGTAAATTGGTGCTATATAACAATTTAAYTTAATTTATTTACATCATCCGAAAGATGAGCTATTTACCACTGATGCAGAGCCAAAGTGGATTATCTGTCTTGGTTAATTCATAGCTAAAATTTTAGACATGATTTACACAGAGACCACAGCACATTGGCTAAGCTTTGAAGGGTCCTTTTCTACACTCTCTTTCATTGTGCAAAAGGAATGATTACAGCGTTTCAAGACAATATTTTTTCTAGCAAAACAAAAATTGACAAAACTTTTTTTCCCTTGTTTGCAGACATGAAAAGAAAACACATTTCATTAAGAAAAAACATTTTAAAAGAACTTTCCAATTTTTCATATTAAAATTGTATAGCATTAGCATTGATTTATTGCTGCCCCCCATATTTACAGTCTGTAAGAAAAAAAGCAAACAAACAAACAAACAAAAAAGAAACGGTGACATTAACATCAAAAATGCCATTTGGGTAAAAAAAAAAAAGACATATTATAGAACTATAAATGCACAGACGTACCAGCTAGAAGTTCATTTACATGTCTGAAAATAAAGAAACCTGTCTTGTTGGTACCAAACACTCTGATATTATCTGATTATTCATGATAACAGAAAAGCTCTCATATTATATTCTTTCTCTTCAAACTGTAAAACTGAACAGCAGTATTTTCCATGCATTTAAATGTTCTCACCCAACAAGCCCAGACCATCTCCAAACCCATTAGGAAAGGAAAATCTATAAAAGCTCAACATGTCATACAAAAAGATGCATATAAGACCTTTTTATTTTCTATATTTCTCTCATATGAAAGCTGCTTTGGTAACAACATAGTCACGACATCAGTCAGTCGCCTTTACCTGGCCAGGGTGCTGAAAGCCACTCCACATCTGTCCTCTCGGTGACACACTTTTCATTTTTACCCCTCAGAGTCTTCCCTCTTTCACTAAAATCTTAATGAACGGATCTAGTTACACCAGAGTGGGCTGTGTTTCTGACACCACATCAGATGCAACGTCTGCTGAGAGCTGTTTGTCATAAAGATGTCCGTGCTGTGAAAGACAGAGCTATTGTACTGAGGGCTGACAGAGTGGAGACCTTAGACGCTGAGCCCACTGCATTGGGGCCTGAAATAGTAGCACAAAAAGAAAGCTGTTAGTCTGGTTACTGCCAGAGGAAACGAGATGTTTTGGTTATTTTTCATTTTTTTAGTACGTTTCAAGAATTTCAAGCTGAAAAGATTTGATATGATTGGCACTGTTTTAAAAAGACTTTATGCAGTCATACAAAAAAGAAAGTCCTCCTGCTTCAGTTCTTGGGTTTTGTGTGTTGGACATGATTCCATCTTGTCATTATGAAATAATAATAATAAAAAAAGCTAAATAGGAAAATTTGTGTGTGAGTTCAGGCCATCAACCTCTAGCAGCAATAACTTAAAGCACTTGTTTTCTCTGTGATTGTATTAGTCTCTCACATGGCTGTTGAGGTGTTTTGGCCCTTTTTTAGGTATAGTTTTGCTTCAAGCAAGAAATTGTCAGATACAGTATTTGCTAAGCAGAGCTTCTTTATGGTCCTACTACAACGTTTCAATCAGGTTGAGGCCTGAATGTTGACCAGGGGCAGAGCCAGGGGGTGGCCAGGGATAGCCATGGCCACCACAGACAAATCTTTGGCCACCCCAATGGCCACCCTGCTGTACACACCCCTTACACAGTGAAACAACCTTCAGGGGCGTAATAATTCTCCTTAACAGTTGGTGGCAGTGTTTAACAGTTTGAAACATCACCAAGACAAGGAAGTGATGGTTTTCTTTATATACAGAACATATGCCTATGTAACCTGACTTATGATGTGAACTTTTGGACTTATGGTGACAAATGTTTTATTTATTTATTTATTTATTTATTTATTTATTTATTTATTTATTTATTTATTTATTTATTTATTTATTTATTTATTTATTTATTTATCATTTTATGCTACGAAGGCTGCATGATGCTCTGTGTTTCGTTATAAGTAGACCTATCATTAAACCAGAAAAAGTGAAACACCCCTCTAAAGTCACTGTTGGTGGTTATCAACATTGCTGTTCATTGGGTGCAATTATTATATTATTAGTTTTAAACATGCAGCTGAGGGTTATCATTATTTGGCACAATGACACGTGTTACAATTAAGAATAAATCAATAAACAAAATACAAGTAAAAACCACCCCTAATGTAATTGGATATGATAAATTGTGTCACATTWATTAACCTTATCTCAGCTGTAGCAGTGAGTTTAAAACAGAGTGATGGAACTAGTTTAATGAATAATCTGTCTCTGAAATAATTATTAAATCAAGTGTTTATTTATGTAGGTAAGAGTATGTTTAATATCTTGGTAAAATACTCCAGAATGCAGGAAAGGGCATCTATTTCATTCAAACTTTTATGGGGGAGGACCCCCAGATCCCCCAACAGTYKGTCACCCCRCTTTTAAAATGGTTCTGACGCCCATGTTGATAAGGTAGTCACTTCCTATRAGGACATAAAGAAATGACCAAAACACAAATAGCTGCAGAAACTTTCAAGTMAAAATGATGTAATTTTCCTGGCCACCACTGTGTGAGTTGTGGTCCCAGTTTGGCCACCCCTGTGTGAGTAGTTGTCCCAGTTTGGCCACCCCTGAGAAAAATGTCTGGCATCCCCCACTGATGTTGACTGGACCATTGTAAAGCCTTAGCTCTTTTTGAGTCATTCTGTTGACAGCACTGTTCTGTTGCATCATAACGGTTTGGTTCAAGTTTCAGCTGTTGGACAGATGGCTCCACATTTGAGTCCAGAACTCTGGTCTACAGAAGAGTTTATGGTCGACTCAATGAATGCAAGGTGCCCCAGTTCTGTTGCAACAAAATGGGCCCAAGTTACCAGCCCTCCACCACCATGCTTAACAGATTGCACAAGGTAAGATACAGACCAGATTGGCAGGTGCACAGGTGCTCACAATGAACGGTGATGTGCAGGTGGTGCTCCGTCGACAGCAAAAGCAGGATAAAAACAGTGGAAAGACAGGCTACACACCAAGATTTAAGGTAAAAAGTAAAAGGTCCTTTAATAAAAGAATGGACCAGCCATTAAATGAGTTGCCTACCGGCTCGGTGACTAACGCACCTTCAACAGGGCAAATATCATAATATTCATAATCAATAGTTCATCATATGATATTTGCCCTGTTGAAGGTGCGTTAGTCACCGAGCCGGTAGGCAACTCATTTAATGGCTGGTCCATTCTTTTATTAAAGGACCTTTTACTTTTTACCTTAAATCTTGGTGTGTAGCCTGTCTTTCCACTGTTTTTAGATTGCACAAGGTCTTTGTGCTGATATGCTGTTTAATTTTCTCCAACCATGGTGCTATGCATAGCGGATAAACATCTCTACTTTCATTTTATCAGTTCAACAGACATCATGCCATACATTTTGTGTTTTTTATGCAAATACATTATAAAATCAAGCCGTGCTGCTTTTCAGAGAGAGGAGAATTTTCTTGCAAGTCTTCCAAACAAGTCTATGCTATGCCATGCTATCATGAACTTCAACCATTTCCTGATCACTTTGACCCGAAGTGTCTGAAACAAGCTCTTGCTTTTTTAATCTTTTAGTTATTTGTTTGACAATTCTACAGTCTGAATTTAGTGTGAAATTGCTGGGACATCCACTGCTGGAAATATTGGCCTAACAATAGCTCTGTTTAGTCACATTAGCCCTCTTTTGCATGTGACTAACCTGTTTGTCCATGTGGAGGCAGTGTTTATAAGGCTGAGTTCACCTGAAACACCTCAGACTGAAGAAGTCTCTTGGAGGACAGACAAAATGTTTTCTTAAAGACGAACTCGTGCAGAGGACCTACTTAACCTTTTCTTGACTGGCAACAGCCCTAAATATTTTCCACCGGTGATTAATCTTTATTACTGTAAAATGCACTCCAAATGACTTCAAAATGACCTTAAACTCCTCCCAGACTGAGCAACAGTTACTTCCCTGTGGTCGTTGCCGATGTCTTTGTTGGCATTGTGTTAACGCACACCTGTGCAGTGCAGCAAACTGACGAAATTCCTACTTTTTTTACACACAGCTTCTTCATTTTGGTTTAATTTTTGTCAAATAAATTCTGACATGGTGAAAACTGCTGTGTTTTTGAACACTTGAGATTAGATTTAAATATTTAGTGAATGTAGTGAATTTAAAAAAATTCTTATTTCCCAAGAACTGACAGAGAGTACTGTCTTTTTTCTGTCTGTACGTATGTATATTCAGCCCATTCTTACTCCCAACTCGTCACATATTGACGATTTTCCAAGGTTCCCTATGTGTCCGGTTTTGACGCGTCAGGTACCCCCCTAGTGTTAGTTATTGACGAGATGGGGCAGAATCTGTTGTCATCATTTCAGAAAGTGTAAAAATGCACAGAAACTAACTGTCTCAAAGCCTAAAATGACCTTTATTCACTCTAGACATCCTGTCCCTGACCCTAGTACCTAAAATTAATCATCAACCCTGATCCATATATTAACCATTTTTAGAAAGTGTAGGAAATTCACATCACCTACATGTCCCAAACCCTAAAATTACCTAATATTCACCCTAGACATTATATACCTGACCCCACTACCTGAAATGAACCATGAACCCTGATCCCTAACCACGGACCCCAACTCAAAGACAACTAAATTTTGCATCCCGACGCATCCAAACCGGACGCCGAGGGAACCCGGAAATGCTTGGTGTGTCGATAACTGACGCAAAAGGCGTTACCTGCAACACAAAAACTAACAAATTCATTTCCTAGACTGTTTATTTCTTCAGGTGAAGATAAGTAACCTTAATCTTCTGTGCGGCAGCGAGAAAGAAGATTATTCAGTTCATCTATTGTTAGGCATTAACTTCTCCACTAACCTGGTATCTTTGGGATGGTGATCTGCTTGCTACTGCTGCCATCCCCTCCCTCCCCGAAAGGCTTTATTTGGATGATATAATCCCCATCAGTGGGAAGAGTGAGCTCCACCGAGGTGGTGTTGGTTTCCATGACACTGGGCTGGCTGTGTTGATTTTTCTTGTACAGCACCTGTAAACRAGGTTAAATCAGGAGTCCCCTGCACCAGGGCAACAAACACAATTTTCTGATAGAATGAAGTGACAGAGTGCTTACTTTGTAACCAGTCACTTCTGACTCATTCTCCAGGGCTCTGACCTGCTCCCAGTTCAGAATAATCTTGGAGTTTGATGTATTCCACATTACTTTAACAGGTGGCTGACTGGGCGCTGCAAGGAGCAAAACACATTAGAGACCTTAATAAAAAAAAAACCGAGTCGCCAACAGGAGCTCTGCTTTGATACTTGCGTGGTTTTTTGGTGGTCACATTGACGGTGGTGCTGGGTGGTCCCGTCCCAGCAGTGTTATACGCCCTCACTGAGATGTAATATGTGGTGCTGCCTCTCAGCCCGACGATAACAGCAGATGTTTGATTTCCTACGGTCCTCTGCATGCTGGCCATGTCTTCCTTTTCACTTCTACTCCAGTACCTCAGCTGAAAAGCGCCACGGCAGAACCACAGAAAAAAAACATGACTGACACTTTAAAAGCTTTCTGTTACACCCTGTCAATGAGGTGCAAACTGAAAACAGGGATATGTGAACTCATCTGGGTGGAAGATGTGAACTGGTCTGAAAACAAGCAATAGCAGCGTGTCACACTGTGTGACTTGTGTGATGTGTGACTCTGTTCTACACATCAGATGTGTTATAGTTTAGGTTTTATGCTAAAGTGTGCAATAAAGATAAGACATAAATAAAATCCTGTGGATAACAGATTTTCTGAGTCACATGTTCTTGTTAAAGTAGAAACTCTGGTTGTCCTGCTATGGAAATGCATTGGAAGTAATACAATTATATGGAGGCACAAATTGTTATCCCCTCTAAACAACTTTTACTACATATATGTTTACCGTGTATATATGCACTGTATGTTTGTGTCTCATATCAGTGGAGGAGTGCATCCACACAGCTACACCTTATATAGATTAAAACAAGTGTCTCGACACAGGATGTCCTAAATATAACACATTGCGAAAAATAGAAAATTATTTTAAAACCTTTTGCTTTTTGGAAAAAATCTTATTTAAAATTGAGTGAATTCRTTAGAAATTGTCAGAGGTTTATGAGTCCAGTTGTTTTGATTTTTAAAGTTTTGGGAGGATTTAAAATGTTATGCATGACTAAGAATCTGCACCAGCATAATTATTGGAAAGGCCTCTGCAATTGACTCAGTTCATCAGATTCAAAACAGACACCACACCTACCTATGCAAACACAAAAATGGCTACATCTCAGTAGACTTTAACGGAGCATAGGAACAGAGCCAGAGGGGTGGCAAGTGCCACCTCTGGTTCCTGATTGGCCACTCCAAGTGCCACCCCCAAATTACTGACAAGTAGGTTGGGATTTTACATTTGTATTTAGATTTTATTACACTGTTCCCTGATACTACTGTACTATTGTAATATATATATATATATAAACATTAGTGGTTAGTATAAATGGTAAATGGCTTGAGCTTATGTTGCGCTTTATCAAGTCCAGTTACATTCCAAAGCACTTCAGTCGTTCACACATTCACACACTGATGGTGGTGAGCTACAGTGTAGTCACAGCTGCCCAGGGGGACACTGAAAGAAGTGGGGCTGCCATGCACTGGCACTACTGGGCAATCCATTGATCACAAGATGCCTCCCCTAGCCACTCAGCTACAGCCGCCCATTTGGTATTAGCATTGACAATAAACATGTGATCATTCTTAGATACTCTACAACAAATTTCATCATAATAAGTCTTAAAATAGTTGATTTATAGTCTTTTAAAGTTAGCTGTGGTGGCCTTCTTAAATTTTGGATCAGCATTTAGAATTTGGTAAAAAAAAATTCAGCTGTTTCTACACTAATCTTCAGCTTTGTATGTTGCAACTACCATTTAGTATGTTTTATTTTTTTTTATCATTCGTAGTTATGGTCACAAAATTTCTTCTTTCTGTCTTGAATTTTCAATTCCAGAGTGTTTTTCTTTATTTGTATGTGCCCCACTTCATAAAAGCTTGACCACCTCTGTGCTACCCCTTGCAGAAGAGGTCTAGCTCCGACCCTGTAGAGCTTCAGTAGTAGCTGAGAATAAACCCCAACAAACACTGACAGTGCTAGCAGACTGCTATGTTCTCTATTTAAAACTCAAGATGACTGCTACAGCTACTTCCTCAAACAAAAAGTTGATGTTAATCCATTTTAAAGATATAAACTTACAGTGATCCTCATTACATAAGCTAAGTGAAATTTCCCTTAAATAATTCAAGATGGCCACCACAGCCACCTTGGCAAACACACAAATGTAGCATAGTCACTATTACAGATGTTGAGCTAAAATTTGTATTATTATTAAGTAATACTAACAAATCACAAATTATTAAAAATCAAGTTGCCTGCCACACCTGTGCAAATGGATGTAACTCAGTCAGTTTAAAAATATTAAGCTACAATTTAGCGTGGCTGTAGCTGAAAGGAATCCACAAAAAAAAAAAAAAAAAAATCACCTGAGTGCTAACCAGAGGGGATTCCTCTAAGACTGCAAGGGAAGCTCAGCTTCCCCTAAAATGTCAAAAACTAAGTGATCAAATATATATTGTTATGTGTACGTGTCATTGACTAAATATGCGCTACAACTCGCTCAACTTTTGTTCAGAATCAGCTTCTTATCWCTAGCCTGGCCCTTGCCTTCCAATGCAGCTCTGCTCAATTCTAGTTTCCCTTCACTGCTCCGTCTGGGMCTTCTCCCCTGGAGATGGATTTCGCTGGCAGATTTTTAGCCGGGCCAATCAGAGAAGAGAACGTCAATTTTCTGCGCAGTGTCTGCTTGTAGTTTATTTTACCTGGGCCAATCAGAGAACAGAAGGAGAAGTTTTGAATGACGTTGATGTTCTGCGCAGTGTCTGCTAGTTATTTTAACATATGGCAGTGGAGGAAGTGAATGAAGCCAGTCTGTGTTGATAAGGCTTCCAAATTAAATTAAATTTGACAAAGCAGCAGCTCTCATTTACAGTCGTCTCGTTCGGCTCGGTATATTTCTCCTCTCAGTAGGGTTGTTTTCAGCACACGCGATTTCCGGTTAGCTTCTTAGCTTACCCTCCGTCACAGCCATGCACACACATGCTTCAGCAGAGGCCACGCCTCCAGCAAGAATCACTTTTCTATGCATCAAGTCCAGACCCTTTTACAAAGCAAAGTGATGGACAGGGTCTGGTTTTAACCAGGCTACCTTATCACTGGTAACGACGCGGCTTTCCTCTCACTCATTCCCGTAGCTTCACAGTGCTTTAAAAAGAGCAGACGCTGAGCTTCCACAGAGTTCAATAGTAAAGCAAAGACTGCAGCGAAACGAGACAAGTCATTGGATAAATGCTGGGGTTTGTCCCGCCCATCGGAGGTTCAGTGTCTCTGGGGGTCAATGGGACAGTGGGCTGGCCTCGGCTGGCCTGGACGCTTAGCTTCTGTATGACGATTGGATGATCTGTCAGAGGCTGAATCACTTTTTGATTGACAGCGAAACGATYGAATCATTGATCTTTTGGTGTAATTGGGAACATTTTTTACTTGTATAAATCAACACATTTTTTGATGTAGGCCGAAATTTAGCTTCCCCTCCTTGGAAGATCAGCATCCGCCACTGGTGCTAACTAATCATGAAACCGGATGTTTCTCAAAATGACTACTAGCAAACTGGACAAACACAAAATATGACTTTTACTCTGCCAGTTTTGTAGATATTGAGTTAAAATTGGGTGTGGATGTACTACAGTGATCTCCAGCACAAACTTATATTGCTAGGATGCACAAAGTGGCAGGGACAGTGGCGGATCCAGGATTTTTCCTGTAAGGGGCCACAATATTCATAGAGGGGCCAAGTATTTGTTCAGCATCCTTGCATTTAAGTCTCTGGGTTTTGGTAAGGTGTATACRTTTTACTAGTCATTTGTTCAAACACTTGTAATGTAATGTAATTTAAAAAAGCTTAAACAGTAAATTATCCTTAGCGGTTTTACAAGTGTTTTTACTGTACATAGATAAAATGCTCTCAAACATATATGAGAAAATGCAGCCATCATTTGTCAGTTGAAAGACTTTTTCTGCAAGATTGTTCAGATTTTCTTAAGAAGAGAAGAATTCTGTAAGATTGATTCATGCTGGAATTTCATATTTGACTCATTAGCGCCGCTAGTGTTTGGACATGGAACTGCACACACCTTCACCAATCTCAGGCAAAGGACAGATGAGGGACAGGACAGGGGCACTTCAGGGGGCAAATCAGATTTCAGCTGGAGCCAATGCCCCTGTGGCCCCACCCCTAGAACCGCCCCTGGGCAGGGACAATCAACCTTTCTTTAGGAGTATTTCTAGTTTTTTTTTCATTTTCTGCTCTTTTGTGTATTATTGTCAGTATTTAGTGATTTTTCTTTAATTATGATAAATTTTAAAAATAACCTTTTTTCTAAGATCAGGGTTTTATCAAGGAGCAGCAGTAAGAAGACAAGAACTAAGCAAGGCACAGAGCTGCTGTCTAAAACAGCTTTGTTATGTGGATTAGAAGCTAAGTGTTCTTTTCCTTAGAGTATTGCAATCGTACACTAATAAGGGCAGTTACATTACATAGGTAAGCAACAAGACAAACACAGCTAAACCCATAGGCTTGGGACCAGGCTGAACGATTATGCATGCATCAAGCTATTATCTCGTATGCCCAAGGTGCACAACTCTGCAACACTTATCAATAATAGAAGAGAACAAGCTGCAGCAGCACCAGTTGCCATATGCATTCACACAAAGCCCTTACCTCATAACCCAGCACTCTTCTCCTGCTGGCGTTCCAGGGCAGGGCTTTCCACCAGACTTCAATTTCAGATGCAGAGAGGCTTTTGGCCCGAACCCTGGTGGGAGCTCGGCTGGGCTCTGGAGTTGATGGAAAAAGATTTTAGGAATAGCTCTGATAACCCCCCTCAGACAGGAAAAAGAACAGTTTCATAAAAGCCACTTGCTTTTTCAGAACAACTGAAGGAAGAATATGGGATCAAACTGTCAGCAAGCACGGAAATAGAAGTGGCGACAGGCTCAGAGCTGTTGTTCAGACCCATCTGAAATCCAATTTTAATCCAGCATCAACCCAGATCTTTACTCTGATTTTTTTCTCTTTTTACACCAGCACATGGTAGTGATGCGCCAAGTTCTTTTCCTAGCCAAGCCTTTTTCAGCCCCCCCCCAAAAAGAAAAAAAACTTAAACAAACAAACAAAACATCTTAGCTTGTCCCTAGCATTCTTTTCTGATATTAGTTTTTCTGAAATGATTATGAAGTAGAAAACAATGATTATGGGTGTCCTCAGTTTTATTGCCAGAATATGTGCATATGAAATGAAAACATGGAAGACAAAATACTGTCTTCACTTCAAAATAAGAGCATGAATTTAAACTTTTTCCTACTTGTGTTATGATTCTAGTTACCACCCCTTCTCCATGAGCACGGCTCTACTCTGGTTCGGGTCTGTTCTGTTCTGCTGAGATGTGTGTGTGTCCCTCACTGTGTGTGCGTGATTAAGGGCGAAATGTTCACAACGCATTTGAGTTTAAAAACAAAAAAAAATTGTTGTGGTTTTACCGTTCGGTCTTTATTTATTTATTTATAGTTACTGTGGTTTTTTTTTTACAAGTGCTTGTATAACCATGGGTGACCAGTTTGTTCGAAACCTCACGGGATATCTGCTCGGCTTCGTCTCCTTCTCTTCTTTTCATTAAGTGTTTGCAAATTCTGTCTTTCCCAAGATGGCCAAAAGCGTCTCTTTCCTAGAGGAAGTTTGCACAAGCAACGCGCCTTTCCTCTGTCAATCAATCCAAGAGCTAATCCACGGGCAGCATTCTGCTGACGTCAAAATCGTAAGAGTGCTGTACTCGCTTTTACCCAGAACCATCAGAGAGGGAGTACAAACTGCACGGCTGAGCGTGGTTCTGCATGGTTGAAACCTGGAGGCACATTTGGTCAAAGCCGAACCAGCAGAACCACATACAGGTGGAGAAGAGCTGGGACTGGGAGTGTCGCCCAGTGACGTAGCTCCAATTGCCTTCTGCTACGTAAGCACAAAGAATTGTGTAAATTGTCTCTCAAATGAAAACTGTGAGCCAGAAGAACAGTCAGCCAGAGAATATAGCCTCTGAGAACAAAGAGACATCTCAGGAATTGATGTTTAAATACAATCATTTTGCATTAATGACTTGAGACACCTTTCTCCCTCTGCGGCTAAAAATAATTAAGGTCAATATATGAAGAAATATTTAAATTAGCGCTATTATGTTCATCATTTTAGAAAGCTCAATTTCACAATCAGATGGAAAAAATATTAGCCAAAGCACAAAAAATAAAATTAGTTCCGTAATTTGAGCTTTAGTGCTTTAGATCAGGGGTTCTTAACGTTTTTGACCTCGGGGCCCAGTTTATTGAACATAAAGTGACACGAGGCCCAGTCAGACATAACCAATGAAAGTATCAAAACGATAATTATTCTAAATCTTGGTTTAATTTTTATTGTATTTACATTGTGACTAAATTAAATACATTTACATTTAAAAAGTAAAACTCCTGTCAAATAATCAGAAGACGTGATTATGACAAACATTTTTATATTGTAACCTGCCCATAACAATTATTT